GTCACGACAACATGAGGAACATATGAAGCTGGCACTTGGCACCTGTGAATTGTCGGCAGTTCGTTTTATCTACTGTTGTTTTAAAATTGTATTGATTTTATGCTAACATGTCTTGATGGGGGGGGGGGGTTGTTATAATTTTATGTGACTTGTTTCATACTTCTGTACCATTTTTACCAATTGTATTTTATATGTGCACCCTGGAATGCTTTGTAAGCCACCCAGAGTCCCTTCGAGGAGATGGTGGCAGGATATAAATAAAGATAATGATTATTATTATAATTGCATTAAGGGGTCACGGCACTAGGAAGGTTGAGAACCACTGCCCTGGCCTAGAGGGTCTCTTTCAATCTTTAAATCACAAGACTGCAGGCCTGGATAAATGATAGTCAATCTCACTTTCTGCTTATTTATGAACTTGCCATATTCAACTTTGTTCAAAAGTTTGCAGCAAAGTTTAAACAAGTATGGTCAGTTCCATAAAAGACGTTTCTTCATAAATTCTGTAATAACTCCTCATGCTGCCCGAACAACGGAGCTATAACACAGCTAAATTATTACTCTTTATTTTTAGACAGCTGTCCTTAAGCTTTTCTTTCTTTTCTTTTTTTTTTCTGGTAACAGTCAGCATGAAAAGTGCCACCGAAATAAAATGTGCCTCAGAGCAAAGTAACGCAAAGAAATATTTCCTTGCCAAAGATACATGCCAGCTTCTTGTATCCCGAGAGAATTTTCTCTTTCTTGGCTGTAATTTATTACACACTCTGACTCTCGGGAAGTTTCATGAAGAAAACTTTTTACCATGAACAGCTCCTACCCCTGAGAATTCACTGACTTTATGGCAGCATTAGGTATCCCTGTCACCAGAATATATGGCTGTAGAGGAATTCTTTTTAAAGATGGCAATATGCCATTCACTGCCTATTTAATTCTTTTGGATTCTTAATGCTTCTATTCCCTAGATCCCATTCTGCCAGAGTCCTCCTTATAGTTATTGTACTTCGGGGAAGTGAATGGGTAAGGACATCTTCACAAGTAATGTTCAGATTTTTTTAAACAGTGGTATATTGACTCACGAAGGTTGTTCCTATAGGGGAAATAACAAAGGAGTTGTGGGTTGAAAATCCAGATATACAAACTCAATTCAATATGCAAAATGCCTCACGTGGAAATTAAAGAAATCATTTAAGCAGCATTTGTGAGAACAGCCTGAATCTTTGACTGAAATCACACTGCCTGGTTAAACAGGAGCTTTTTCCCCCCTTTCCCAGGGAGAATTCACTTCTAGTAAGATATTGTGCAAACACTCACCAATATGTGATGACAGCAGATGAAGCAATAGCTTCCACTTGGGCAATCACAACCTTATTAAAAGAAAGGGCAATCGCACCTGCTCCTAACAACTTGGCACCACTATATTCTTCTTACTAAAAAGAAAGAAAAAGATGGGCCATGCAAATTACTGGGGGGGGGGGGGGG